CCCCCCGCCGCTTCCGGCCCCAAGGCACTGCCCTGGGCGGGCGAGGAGAGCCCCCAGATCCCAGGCCCGCTCCGGCCCCAGGAAGAGCAGGAAGCCTTTACATGGGCCCCCGGGGTCCAGCCACACCCTCCACCTCCCCTGATGACCTCACGCTCCGCTCCCCGAGCCGTGCGCACGGGGCCCCGGAAGGGGGCTGGGCTGGTTGTCGCCGACACTTCCCGCACGGAAGGTGCGCGCCCGGTGACTCGCTGCTGAGTCACCTGCGCGCTGGGCAGAGCTTCCACCTGGAGGTGGGAGGCGCCCTGGCCCTGGGCTGCCCCGACCCCTCTAGAGGTGACATGGGGGGGGGCTTCAAGGCCGAAACTCTCTACTGGAAGGTTTTGTTTGTTTTCAACGAGTCCATGAAACACTTCCTTAGAAAACCCCAGGATAAAGTGATGCTGATACGTAGTTTATTTTCGGTTTTGAAGACACGGTGAATTGTACACAGCTTGGATACTTTTTATCAGGCCAACAAAAGTATCGGAGACAACGCTCTTCGGTAACTTCGGGCCTCTCCCTCGAGGAGACCTCGTGGCGCCGTGGGGTAGGCGTTGGGCTGCTAACCCCGGGGTAGCGGTTCCAGCCTCCCGGCCCCACTCCGCGGAAGGAAGATGAGGCCGCCGCGCCGCCTGTAAGATTTACAGGCCGGTGGCCGTGGGTTGGCTTTTGGATCTGGGCCTGCCTAGAATCCGCCATGTTTTAAAACAAGGATGTGTGCCTCGGACGTTTCCCCCAAAAAAAGTGTCTTAAAAGGGGGAGGGCTATAGTGAATAACCAGTTACTTTGTTCAGACTGCTACAACTAACAAAAGTAAGCCTGGTTACTGTAGCAACTTGCCCCTTTCAGCAAGCAAGACAAAAAAAGGATCGTGTTTTAAAAAAGTCTGGTGTAGAAAGTAGTGGGGCTTCTAGGAAAGGCTGGAAGAGCAGCCATGGACCTGCTTAGCGGGGCCACTCACCCAGCTAAGCTGTGCTACGGGAATCCGTCACCTGTGTCCTATTCTCCCCACTGGTGAGCGTATTGATACGTTCCTGACGCAGGCCGGGTTTTCAGTCAGGTCATTCTTTAGGTAGGATGAAGAGAATTCTGTTTCAGATCCTTTTAATCCTTAGGCCTAAACGCCATTAAGGAAGGATCTCTGGGACGGGGGTTCTAAAGTCCAGTTAAAAGTCAACATGACGCAATAGCAACTATGCATGGGCCCATTAAAGCAAACAACTGGTTCTCCCACGGCGCAGGCGCAGGAGCCCTACGTGTAGGTGCAGGTGGTGCTGAGCTTGCTGGTGTGGTCAGGAGACCAGGATTGTTTTATGGGGAGTGTGGGTGGGAAGGAGGGAGCGTAAGTCAAAGGTTGTGAGTAATTCAGGGATTGTGATATCTTGGGTTATGAAACGTAGCTGGTCCTGAATTTTCTTTCTTTCCTTTCCCATTAGCAGTTATTAAAAACTTGAAACCCTGCTGTTTGGGGGAAAACGTAATGAGAGAAGTCCTTTGCCAGGCCCAAAGTAGTTAATCTGGTTGATGATGAAATACAATGAACACGTTTTTGTTTTCTGTGAATTCTGAGTACAGCTTCTGTGTGTATCACCTTATTTTGCCTAAGTAGGAATGATTTTGGTGACCTTATACTTTTTTTAGGGATTTTATTTTTAAATCACTTTATTGGAGGCTCTTATAACAATGCACACACCAACTGCCATCTTTTAAAAAACATTTTCTTTCTACTTGGGCACTTGGTAGATTTTGATAACGTTTAATGACTTTAGCAAAAGGAAAATGAACATTTCTCCAGTAGCCTGATATTCCTGAAACCCTAGACTTTCCCCCACACAACTTTAGAGATGTGTGCATTTTATTAGGGAGCAACTACTTCTTAATTTCAGTGCCACTGGCTTGTTGATAGTGAGGGGGAAATGTTCTCGCAAAGATTAAATTCTTCTACCGCTTCTGACCACAACTTTGAAAATGCAGCAAGCTGCTGCTTATCGGGCACTCTGTCCCTGAGTCATATGGTTGTAGTTTGCTGGTTTAAACTGGTTTCAGAGGAGAGAGAGATGCTCTTGTCTGTTAAAGAATGGGATTAAAGAGGGACCAGAATGAGCTCACTCACTGGTTACACAATCCCACAGAGAATGAATCAGCACTAGAAGGGGAATTTTGCGTGTGTTTTAACAAATCAGCAGTCATGATTTCCTAAGAGCTAGGAAAAATGTATTGCTCTATACTAGAGTAGCTTACTACGATTGTCATTCCAAAGTGGTAGGAACTTGACCTTAGATATCATATCTAATGTGGCTACTAAGCAAGGATCTGGCATCAACCAAGAACTACATTTGGCCTTTTGTGTCTGTAAGTAGCCTGAGCAATTAAGGCACTCTGTCTTTGCCAAATAGGAAAGACACAGGCCTCATACCTGGCTAACCTCAGGCAGGGAGGGAAACCTGATGCACGCAAGCACAGTCATTGGTCAGGTTGAGCATAACTGTGCATTGAGACTCAAGTCTATCCATTGGGGTTTCCCGTGAGCGTGGGATCCTGGGGCTTGAGCTCTGAGACCCCATGGATGAATGCAGTATCCATGCACTGGATAATACGATATAGCAAGCCTCTGGGAACAATGGAAGCTTCTTGCCAGGATCTCTGTGCCAGACTTCCTGATGTATCATTTCTGTTTACCATAAATGAGTAACTTTGACTGTAAGTTACAATCGCAGTGATTTTGTTAGCCTAGGGCAGGGGTGTCAAACTGGCGACCCATGGGCCACATGCAGCCCCCGATGTAATTTTTTGTGGCCCACGATGCTCTGAAATAAAATGAAAATAGAAAAAAATTGTTATGAGGAAAATAGCACTTAGGGGAGATCAAGGCAATACCGCACACAATTCCCTCGATACATTTTATTTCAAACTGGTGGGCCGTCAGTTTGACACCCCTGGCCTAGGGAATTAACTAGCCCATGTGTACAGTGAGCCAGCCAGGACTGGTTGATTATGTGGTGGGGGGGGAAAGCCCAGGTCTGGGTGGCTAGGTGACAGGGAGAGGCTGCAGAAGCCCTTGATGGAGACTTAACAGCTTGTGTCTTACTAGTCTTGGTGGATGAGAGTGAAACAGAGCCAGCTGTTGTGAATTGCGTAGTTGTGCAAATGCTTGAGCTTAGCCAGGGCTGGTCCCCAGTGACCTAGCCCAGGGTCACTAGGCATGCGTTCTGTTGTGACTCGAGTAGTTTGGGTCCAGAGAAAATTTCTTTGCGTTTGATGAGGTGTGGGTGTGGAGAGGTGAAGCCTGGGTCCATTTCCAGCTGGGGATGGCATTCATACTGGTGCTTGCTGTCTGGTCAGTGATGGGGGCCGGGGGGCTACCAACTTAGCCCCAGGAGCAGCAAAGTTGGCAGCATCTCATAATAGTTCATTAGCATACTCCTTGGCAGCGTTTTCTGTGTTGACCCTTGGGCACAGATGCATGGAGAGGTGGCGGTTTACAACCTGGAGAGCACTCATTCCGGGGTGAGCCTTTCCCAAGTGCCCTATCTGGTGTGTCATACTCTGACTTTTCCTCTCCTTCCCCACACAGCGTGAGTGCATCTCCATCCACGTCGGCCAGGCCGGTGTCCAGATCGGCAATGCCTGCTGGGAGCTCTACTGTCTGGAACACGGCATCCAGCCCGATGGCCAGATGCCCAGTGACAAGACCATTGGGGGAGGGGATGACTCCTTCAACACCTTCTTCAGTGAGACGGGCGCTGGCAAGCATGTGCCCAGGGCAGTGTTTGTAGACCTGGAGCCCACAGTCATTGGTGAGTTGAACTCAGTAGCCCTGGTGGTGTCCCAGGGGCCAGGCCCAGGAGCGGGGTTCCTGGGGGCTCCACGGATAGGGTTGTGTGGGTGGTTGGTGACGGGTGGCCACTCTGTCTTCCTTTTGTAGATGAAGTTCGCACTGGCACCTACCGCCAGCTCTTCCACCCTGAGCAGCTCATCATGGGCAAGGAGGATGCTGCCAACAATTATGCCCGTGGGCACTACACCATCGGCAAGGAGATCATCGACCTCGTCCTGGACAGAATCCGCAAGCTGGTGAGTGCAGGGTGTTGTCTCAGGAATCTTGCGCAGGAACGGCTTAGGATACTCGTTGAATTAACTGGACATCCTGGATACAGCCCTGGGTTATGGGGCAGTGATGTGGGCCCTGGAGTAAGTGCTGCTTGACTGTTCCTATGTGTCTCCAAAACAGACGGGGGCCCACTGTGCTCATTCGGTGAGTGCCCGTTCTCTGTTGTCAAGGTGAGGACCAAAGTGTGCCTGCATGGTCTGCTAGCGTTTCATGCCGTTAGCCATCCTGGTGTCATATTAAACAGGCTGTTTACTTCAAGCTGAAGGTCCTTTTGGGCCATCCTAGCCACTGACTGCAACATGTAACTGGTTGATAAAAGTTATTTGGAGGAAAAACAAAAATGTCAAGGCAGTTGTCTTATTTTAGCACAGAAAATTCTTTTGAAAATGAGGGTAACAAATGTATAAATGTGCTTTATACAATGGATGTATGTATGGATTGTGATAAGAGTTGTATGGGCCCCCAATAAGATGATTTAAACAGAAAATTCAAGGCACAAGGAAACACTGTCAAACAGACTATAAACACTGGAAACTTACAACCGAGTGGAGCAAGTATTATCATATTATGCCTTAGAAGGTTTTGAGATATAATCAGGATAAAACAGTGCCCTTGCTTCTTCTTTTTTTTTTCCCCTGCAAGAACTCGGCAGCATCAGCTTGACTGTCTGGCAGAAAAGCCTTTGGCAACTTTTATTTTAATAAAGTTGGAAAATGTTCTACTTGGACAGTTTTAATTTAGTTAAGAGCCCAGCAATCGGATGACCTTTTTGCTCCCTGGGCATTATGGTCAGCTTATGAGTAAATAACCAAGCACTGGGTAGAGTCCTTTGTCATGAAAATTGCATTATTTACTGAGCCTAGTCACGACTGGCATTGTCTAAGAAGAATGGTCTAGCCACATTCATGGTTCAGACTGTTCTCAGATATTTATCATAGTCTTCCCAGCAAAAGTGGGTTGATGGTGCGTGCGTGTGTGCTTTGCAAATGAAGGTGCAGCTACAAGCAGGCTTGGAAATTGGGACCTGCCTTTTTGGGAACAAAGTAAGCTAGTGGAAGCCACTGGAGTTCTGAAGTGAAGGTCATTGACTAACAAAACAGTTGTTTGTCTTGGGCATCGTTGCTGTGTCTACGTGAGGTTGAGGACTGATGGGCATATTCTGTACATTGATCTCATGGGGTGGTTTGGGGTGGCGGCGGGGAAAGGGGTGGACGAATGAGTGAGGTGGCAACAGGAGAAAGAAGAGTGCCCCTGAAGGTTGTCTTAACACCTTATCTGTGAGGTCATGGTCCTCCTCCTGTCCTCCTCCTGTCCGGCAGGAGATTCTGGTGGGCCAGGCCATGGGCGTTTTCATAGGACTGTGGTAAGTTACCTTTCTAGGATGAGTCATTTCTGTGTCACTCTGGCTGGGCCTTGATTCACAGTGGTTTGGCAATTAGATAGTGGTGAAAAGTAGCAGGTATGTAATGACATATATAGCCCTTCCGTTTTGCAAGAGAAACAGAAAAGCACCTTTTTAAAAATTGCCCATGCAGACAAGGAGCGAGCTGTGCAGGGTCTCGGGACCAAAAGCTTGCTGGCCCCCTGAATTTTAGGACACCTTGGTCTCTTTTTTTCCCAATGCCCTTAAATATCCAGCTGTTGTGTGGTTTCCTAGATCAAGGCTTCTTAAATGAGCTGGATGTGAGGGCCGTGAGAAAATTGGCAGCATGTAAAAGGTTTCTAACACGCAACGAGCAAAAGTTAAAATCATAGGAAAGTTACCTGTGGTGTTTCTGGCTGTGCTAACCTCTGTTGCAGATTTCTCTGGGGTCATGAGTGGAACAAGTTTAAAAAGCCCTGTCCTCAGTGTCTGTCTACAATGGGTCTGTTTGGGAGGCTGGCGGGCAGGTCAGATAATGTGATCCTTTCCCAGGGCTCCTGGGCCCCTGGGTCAGTTGAAAACCATAACTGTGGTTATACATGCTCTTGAGCTCATCTTTCGTTTTCTTTTTTTAATTTAATTTTTAATTTTTCCATCCATTTTCGCACAACAACCTGGTCTTCGGGATCTAACCACGTGTCCATAAAGAGGCGCAAGGGTAGCACACTCTATGCTGAGTTTATTTCATTCTCAACTGCCCGAGATGCATCATTTTCATTTAATAAACAGGAAATGGAGTTTGGCAGCGGACCCAGACTCAGTCCGACTGCAGTGTTGGCATGGGCCTCAAGGCTTCCAAAGAGCTCCACCTCAGGGTGTGCTGGCCAGGCCAGTGTGAAGCATCCATCAGTGGTGTCTGGCTGTGGTGCCAACCTTTCCCTGTCCCTTGGTGGCTGATAAACTGCCCTTGTTTTCCAGTCGTACAGCATGGTCGTCAGGTTAACTCTGTGGTCACCAAACCTGAGCCTGGCATTCATCCCAGACCTCCCGATTCCCCTGCCTGAAGAAAAAAGAAAGGGGCTTATTTTTCACTCACCTGTTGAGCAGATCCCCCACCCCCCCAAAGTTTTGCAAAAGTGTCTTTGATTCACTTCACTTCACACTTAGCCCTTTATAACTACTTTCTTAGCAATTCCTGTTGAGGATATTTTAAGAGTCCCGCTCCGGAGAATCATGGATTGAAAGCTGTTTTTTGCGGTCTTGGCCACATTGTCTCTCAGCACTAAAATCATTTCTCTTTTGCAGGCTGACCAGTGCACAGGTCTCCAGGGCTTCTTGGTTTTCCACAGCTTCGGTGGGGGCACCGGTTCCGGGTTCACATCCCTGCTGATGGAACGCCTCTCAGTTGATTATGGCAAGAAGTCCAAGCTGGAGTTCTCCATCTACCCTGCCCCCCAGGTGTCCACAGCTGTAGTTGAGCCCTATAACTCCATCCTCACCACCCACACCACCCTGGAGCACTCTGATTGTGCCTTCATGGTGGACAATGAGGCCATCTACGACATCTGTCGTAGGAACCTCGATATCGAGCGCCCAACCTACACCAACCTTAACCGCCTGATTAGCCAGATTGTGTCCTCCATCACTGCTTCCCTCAGATTTGATGGTGCCCTGAATGTAGATCTGACAGAATTCCAGACCAACCTGGTGCCCTACCCCCGCATCCACTTCCCTCTGGCCACATACGCCCCTGTCATCTCTGCTGAGAAAGCTTACCACGAACAGCTTACTGTAGCAGAGATCACTAATGCTTGCTTTGAGCCAGCTAACCAGATGGTGAAATGTGACCCCCGCCACGGAAAATACATGGCCTGCTGCCTGTTGTACTGTGGTGACGTGGTTCCCAAAGATGTCAATGCTGCCATTGCCACTATCAAGACCAAGGGTAGCATCCAGTTTGTGGATTGGTGTCCCACTGGCTTCAAGGTTGGCATTAATTACCAGCCTCCCACTGTGGTCCCTGGCGGAGACCTGGCCAAGGTGCAGCGAGCTGTGTGCATGCTGAGCAACACCACAGCCGTTGCTGAGGCCTGGGCTCGCCTGGACCACAAGTTTGACCTGATGTACGCCAAGCGTGCCTTTGTCCACTGGTACGGTGGGTGAGGGGATGGAGGAAGGAGAGTTCTCTGAGGCCCGGGAGGACATGGCTGCCCTGGAGAAGGACTATGAGGAGGTGGGAGCAGATAGTGCAGATGGAGAGGATGAGGGTGAAGAGTATTAACTTGTCGCATTGTACACGCTGTTGTCTTGGGACTTTTATATCTGTTGTCTGTAAAAACTGTCCTATGACCCCTAACTGTCAATAAAAGTGTTTTCTTTTTAAATGTCAAACTGGTATCTCACAGTAAATGCAATCTACTTCTTCGAGGCTGCTTGGGGATGGAAGGCGCAGGGGGAGATTCCCCCATGAGTATATCTGAGCAACATTCCTCATGCCTGCGGTGCGCCGTGAACTGTGCAAAGGGATTTGTGGTTTTCCATTTAGACCGAAAGATGGTGGTAAAAACTAGCTCCCATCTCCTGAGCTTCTCGAATGTCATTGGGTGCAAATCACCTGTAGATGCCCTTAACAGTCTCCGGGTGACGCTGATATGCCCACAGGTGAAGTTCAGAGCAAGTCATTAAATGGTGGGACCTTCCGTGGTATCGGCTATGTGACCAGTGTGACATGCCGATGTCCTTATTTAGCCACAGCCATGAACAAGGTTAGTAGTGACAAATGGTTGTGGTGCTGACACGAGGAAGGCAGGTGCCTAAGATTGGAGAATACGGGGCCTGCAAACAACTCGGTGATGCATCTCCCAGGTCCTGCAAGGACCTACAGACCAAAAGGTCCAGCCTGGCCCAGAAGGAAGGAATTGGTCTGTGTGCCCCAGGTCCCCTGAGTGGGGACGCTCCTGGTGATATCATCTTTGCCCTGTGACACTTCAGCCCCTCCTGTTGGTGCTGACGTCTGTATCCCGCACCCATCGCTCACGGAAGTGCCCGTACTCAGTCCAGAGCAGCGGAGGGCCTGCCCTGCCCGTCCTGGAGTTGCAGGTTTTGTAGCAGCGCTGTGGTGGACTGGTCTGGCCCAGCCCCATCCTGAGCACAATGGCAGCTTTTACTACTGATCAGATGGATGAGGCTCCTGCAGCCCTGGCCTACGTAGTGCATCCAGGATGAAAATGGGCTTTGGGGAGGCCGGGCAGTCACCGGAAGGGTCTGCAGAACCCGTCCCCACCCGGGAGGTCTTGGGTAGCCACAGAGCACCTTGGGGAACAGAACACCCACGACAGGTTACCCAGTTCAGCTGAGCGTGGCTGGCCTTGAACCACCTGAGTGAGTGTCCCACAGATGGGCCACAGCTGGATCCAGAGCCGCCAGGGCGGGACCTGGACAAGCCAGAAGCCCCTCCACTTTCCAGGTGAACTTTGTAAGTAGAACTCTAATCACCTGTCGTGACAAAAGGGTGGAAAGCTCTGGGCGGCAGTGACACGGAGGGAAAAGGTAAGGAGAGGTTCAGGGGGAAAGAACTGTTCCAGCCAGAGTCGGGAATGGAGGAGCACAGCACCGTCGGCTGGGCAGGATGTGTCCTTGAACTGAAGATGTCCCCCTCTTGCACCCGAGGGAAGACTTCACAGGAGCTGGCTCGCCTGCAGCAAGAGCAGACACCCCAAGGCCCAGGTTACTGCTTTATGGCGGACGATCATTTGGTCTGCCCTGAGCACAATTGAAGGCTGGACTCAGGGTTGCAGGTGTGCTGGAGATCAATGGGAAAAGCCCGGGAGTTTCGCTCTTGGGATTGGCTGTGGCCCCAGATTCTGGACAGAGGCTGATTGGTCTGCCCGGGAGGAGCTGCTTCCACCATGGAGACCTCGGGCTCTGAGGGGCTGAGCGGTCTGGGCAGAACTGCTTTGAGCTGGAATAGGGTGAGACAGTGGTTCTGCGGGGCCCAAGAGGCCCTCGAGGGAAAACAAACCCGCTGCCATGAGTCGACCCTGAGTCTCCAGGGCAGGAGTGGGCAGTGCCATTTCTCCCAGAGATGGTTCGTGGTTTCAAGCTGCTGACGGTGCCTTTTGCAGCCAAGCAGGTAACCAGGACAGCACCGGGGCTCCCTGGGACCAGGAAGCACGTGGTGAGTACACCAATTGTCAGGAAGCATCCAGCCATCAGGCCTGAGAATAGCCCACCGGGTCAGAAAGGTCACAAGCCCACTGTGGAGAGCTGTGTCCCCCGGACCTGGAAGGGGCACCATGACTTGGAACTGACCTGTGGGAAGGCAGGCAGGCAGGCAGGGCTGGGTCCTAGAGGGAGGGAGAGGCCAGTATGTTGACATCTCTGGTGCCTCATCATCTGTCCCATTGCTATGAGGTGGTGTTATGCCCATTGCCACAGATGAGGAAAGGGAGCCTGAGAGATTAAATATCTAGCCTGAAGCTACAGAGCCAGTAGCAGAGTTGAGACGTGGCCCCAGAATGCTGGCTCTGTGTGCCCTCTCTGGTGTGTTGAGGAAGTGGGTCCCATGCCCAGAGAGAAGGGTGACATTAGGGGCGGAGCATGAGGCCACTGCTGCCAACCCTTGCTCGGAGCCCCAAGTGGGGCAGCAGAAGGGAGGACTCATTAAGACACTGCTTGCCAGAACCCACCCCCAACACACACATACACACACACACACACCTTTGGAGAAGCTGTGGCAGACTGGCAGAGCCAGCTGGCCACATTCTTCAGGCTGTAGCTTCCTGGTGGCAGGAAGGGGCTGCCCGCCGAATCTCAGAATAAAGTCTCAGTGCAGGGAGAGATCCGATGTGCCCTTGCAGGACAGCTGCTTCCACCTGCCTGGACCCCTGCTAAGCAGACCAGCCGATGCGCAGGGAGGACAGTTCATACCTGCGACCAGGAGGGTCAGCTTCTGTCAGCCAAGGCCACAGGGCGCTGCTGGCCTAGCTGACCCCAGCAGATGGCTCCTGGGGCCCAATGGCCAGGAGGGCAGCCTGGGAGATGCAGGACTGCAGAGAGAGAAGGGGAAAGCGACCCTGGTGGTGTAGGGCCGGAAAGCATGGCAGTGGGAGGTCAGCCCCCATTTGCTGACAGCTCATTAGCTTGTCACTGCCCCACTCACTCCTAGAACCCGCGTGTCCTGAGCTGAGCAGGTTGTGGAAGACAGTGCTTTGCTCCAGCACTCGCTGCCAGTCTGCAGCAGGGGAGACGCCAGAATCATCGGTGAACCTTACAGAACAGGCTGGCTGCTTGAGTCAGGAGACAGTAACACTCTGAAAGACTTGTCTTCCCACAATGCTCTCTTGACTTGTAAAGCGATGGCAGAATATGGGGTTTGTTGCAGACTTCCCAATTACACAAAAGTCTGGTCTCAATTCACAAATTAATCTTAGTAGACGCATGGGGTGGGGTGGGCTGTAAATCTACCGAACCTGCTGCCAGCCTTCACTCCTCTCTCTCCTCAAATCTCAGTCCCCTCTCAGTAATTTCTAGCTCAAGGACAGACATTTGGAAATGCCCCTAGCCAAAGCCATCATGCCCAATCTGTGAGTTTCACTATTTCTGGAGTACCAATTTGGTGCAAATCACTGTGCTGGTACTCCGGTAGTTACACAGTCATGTCAACTTGATAAATAAGAACGGAGGGGTGGAGTCTGGCCTGTCAATCAGGTCACAGCCTGGCAGCCTGGTGATCGCTCCTTGTGGGTGTGGCCTTCTCATGAGGATTCTGGGACTTCCTTTCTTCCTCCCTGGAGGTGGGACACTCTGCTTCACATTCCTGTTGACAAGCCACATAGAGCCACCCCGATGGCAGCCAGAGACCTGGAGATGAGTCCACTGCCATTGGACCCACAGAACTTTCCACCCACCTGCCTGTGATCTTCCTGCATTCAGCATCATTGCATGTGCGGCATGAGTCTGAAGAGGAATTTGGGCTAATATCAAACTTATGGACTTGATCTGGACTGGTCTGGGGTGTTTTATTGATGCATAATTACTTCTTGATATAAAATTCTCTCTTGCACATATATGAATGTCAATGAATTGTTTCTCTAGTCAACCAGGAGTAACACAGGTACTCCAGGGACTATATCTCATTCTATGACCTTCTCAGTTTGTAGTGGCAGGCCACACACCTTTAACTCAAGGCCACCTGCTAGCACAAGTGGCCTACCTGCCCCAGAGGCATTCCTGGCTTGTTTTCTTGGCAACACAGCATGGCTTTTCTGCTCAGGTGTTGGGCAATCATGACCATGGGGCTGGGCCTCTCTACTGCCAGGTGAATCCAAGGCTTTATTCCCAATCAAGGCAATTCTGTTTCTCTTGCCAGGGACTAGCTGTGATGCAACTCTGGGAATGAGAAGTAATGTCTGGTGTGCAGAGGGGAGCTGAAGATGGGGTGGAAAGGGAGGCAATGGGGGGAAATGTCCTCATACACAGGGAAAAGATCTTCCCTTGCAAGGTTTTTTGACATTATTTGAGGTTTGATGTTTAAGTTGCTGCATTCGTCTTGTGATCAGAAGGCAAACACGAGGACCGAAGCGAATACGTGAAAATGGCTGTGATAGGTAGTTGTTGTTTTTTTTATAGGAACATATAAGAACATGTGGGATTAATCAGGTCTCAGCTTGATTGGAGGCAAACAGATAAATGGTTCCGCAAGGCCCACTCATCTATCTCTTGCTCTCTGGTGATAAGACCAGCATGCAGTTGCTTTAGCTACCGTTTCCCCGAAAATAAGACAGTGTCTTATATTAATTTTTGCTCCCAAAGATGTGCTAGGTCTTATTTTCAGGGGATGTCTTATTTTCCCATGAAGAAGAATATGGTACACATTTATTGTTTATTGTTTTATTAAAAGAGACCTCATGCTTCCTCTCTGCTCTGGCTGCACTGTGGCCAACAGTGAGCTGTGTGGTGGCACCCGCTGCTATGGTCCAGAGTTACGGTAGCTTTGGGGGCCTTATTTTTGGGGAGGTCTAATTTTCAGGGGGATGCCTTATATTTCAGCGAGAGGCAAAACTGTAAGTAGGTCTTATTTTTGGAGGATGTCTTACTTTCAGGGAAACAGGGTAGTTCTCTGCCTCAACTTGTGAGCTACACTACCTGTGGGACAGCCAACCCATGGATCGTGTTGCTAGAGCTTGAAGTCCTGCTTTGCTAGACTGCTTGTGTGTAAATCAATTGAGCTTGAGGCTGGCAGATTCTGTAGTCTTGCATTGCATGAGTTCGATATCCCATCTGAGCCTGCTTCACTAAGCTCCTGAGCTGCTGACTGTTGATGACCCACCCTGCTGTTTGCTGCCAGTGGGCGGACTCTGCCTGAATTGCCTGAGGGAAGACTCAGCTGT